ATAATAATAATAATAAATAAAGGAGGCAGAGTTTAGTTTTAGCTTTCAATGCTACTTTCTCACAAGAATATCAGGGACAACTTTAAACAGGGGAGATTATCACATGAGGGATGGGCCATTCTGAACCATCCCTGAACAGTCCTTCCGGCGCAATCGCAGGAAGGGCTTTGAGATGACATCACACTTATCCAGACCTCATTCTGTCCAGAAAACACAATTGATCACGATCACAAAAAAATACTTTCAAATGACTTTGTGCAGATCAGATAATTGTCCCGTCATTGTCCTGTCATTGAAGTGGCATTGCCCGGCATTTTGTATTAATAGATGTTGACATTGATGCAATGCCGCTTCAATGACAGGATAATAGCTCTAGGATCTGAAACCCTTTCGCGTGATCCTGTACTGACAAAATAAGGATGGGGGAGCAATCCTGTCCTTATCCTGTCCCCTGTGAGATAATCTCCTAAGTCTAAGTTGTCAGTTCTGATTATTTGTCCTTGTGGGTCCAAAAAACCCTCGGGAGTGAGAAAACCTCAGATTAGCCATGATGTCAGCTATTCAAAACTCCAGAACTATATAAAGGCTTTTCTACTGAGAAGCTCTTTGGGGTTAAAATGAGTTTTAAAGAGAAAGGAAAGCCTCTCCTGTGAGAAAATCTGTCTCTAGGCTGCTAAGGAATAAGAAAGGGATCACAGGATGGGGTGGAATTTTCACTTACTAAAAAGAAAGGCCTTTTTTAGTGACTTAACAGCTGGCGAAGCCATAAATATATTAGCAGCCATGGTGCAGCACTGGCAAGTTGTTTACGGGAGAAAGTTGCCACGAAATGAAAGTACATGCCAAGAAGAAAAAGAGGAGAAAACAGGAATAATTATGTTCTGTGCTTTACAAAATTCAAGTAAACAAAAAAAAAAGATAAAACCAACAGTAATTTACTTTAAAAACCTGCTTTCGCCCTGTCAAACCTGTTAAACTTCTGCACATTTGTTTGCTAGCAAAATGCTGAATAGTGCATTTGATTCCAACCTCTGGTCAATGCAAAAGAAAATCAGGAAGACAACCATTCAAAGGGACTCATTACCCCTCTCTCTTCCTGGGGGCTAGCAAAGGCCCACAGGCATTACTTTCAACTTTTAAATTATTGATAACCTATTATGCTAGATTTTTGTTCCACCTTTCCTCCAGTGAACTCAAGCCAGCTCACATGGTTTTCCTCCTCCTGAGTTTATCCATGTAAGGTAGGTTAGACTGAGAAAAAGAGAATGACTGGTCCAAGGTCTAACAAGTTTTATTTGGCCTAAAGCTTAATCAGCTAATCCATGGAATGATGGGTCAGCTAGCAGACAAGTAGACACAAGTGTGAAGTAAGAAAGAAGTGTGGAGAGGGGGGAAATGCAAAAAGTACAAACACCTAACAGAATTGTCTTAATAGAGGCCAAGATGCATGAAACAAATGAACAATAGCTCAGAGGTAGTGAGGACATCCTATTACAGATA